ACTCCCCTCTACTGGGCCCAAAACACTCACCCAAGGCACAGGTCACTTCCCTCTACTAGGCCCAAAACACTCACTCTAGGCTCAGGCCACTCCCCTTTACTAGGCCCAAAACACTCACCCAAGGCACAGGTCATTCCCCTCTACTGGGCCCAAAACACTCACTCTAGGCTCAGGTCACTCCCCTTTACTAGGCCCAAAACACTCACCCAAGGCACAGGTCATTCCCCTCTACTAGGCCCCAAACACTCACTCTAGGCTCAAGTCACTCCCCTCTACTGGGCCCAAAACACTCACTCAAGGCTCAGGTCACTCCCCTTTACTAGGCCCAAAACACTCACCCAAGGCACAGGTCATTCCCCTCTACTAGGCCCCAAACACTCACTCTAGGCTCAAGTCACTCCCCTCTACTGGGCCCAAAACACTCACTCTAGGCTCAGGTCACTCCCCTTTACTAGGCCCAAAACACTCACCCAAGGCTCGGGTCACTCCCCTCTACTGGGCCCAAAACACTCACTCTAGGCTCAAGTCACTCCCCTCTACTGGGCCCAAAACACTCACCCAATGCTCAGGCCACTGCCCTTTGGGCCCTCATCAATCCCCTACATCTTCACAGTATTCTACTTCTCTTGTTCAGTTTTGGCAAACAGTTCAGATATTCAGGTGACGTTCTTATCTGAACAGATAGTAGCTGACATGCATTTATTTATTATTTGTGTACAGTAGGTAGGTATGCAAGAATGATCAATATATATATCACTGTTACAGTAACATGTGACATCAATCGCCCGTTATGATACTGAAAGGATGTTTTACTATAAAAAGTGTCAAATTTCCCAAACAGTTAGGTCAAATGTCACTTTGATTCCACTTTAGTTTTTTGTAATTATAATTATCACATCAGAGTTATATCAAACTTCCCCCGATAAAAAATAGATGCGTCATACAACTGCGTTATAAAAATATATATAGGTTACATTTCTCTTGGTCCTTCTTTTTGAGAATATATCATTTGATTTGAATTATGTAGTGAGACGGATCCTCGAAGCCGTGATCACACGTACAGGGCTGTTCAGAGAGCATATGTCCGAGGAAGCGAAACAAGCACATTGGGAGTGGGGACACTCAACCAACCAACACCCATACACCCGTATAAATTTATGACTTTGTACACAAACACACCAGAACCTACAATCAAATACGGACATATGAAATAGTTAGGGGAGTGATTTGAGCCCGGGGAGTGCATTGAGCCTACGAGAGTATCTGAGCGTATCGGGAGCGGCCTCAGCCTAGGCCCAAGTCACTCGAGAATGGTACTCATCCTGGGCCAAAATCAATCTCGAGTGATTTGAGCCGAGGGTTGAGTTGGGCCGTCAACACAAGCTGAAGAAGAAACGAGTGATTTATAGACCGCTTCAGAAGCCGGGTGGCAATTTGCACACCTTTTTCTTACCTCCTGTGGGCCGGACACTGAATTATCTATAACCAAGGACCATTTGTATTCCCACAGACATTAAGCTAATAGTATATTTCCAGTTTAGCAAATACATGTTCCTGTTTATACTTTTTGGACTATCATCTAATATGAGTAAATAATAGGTTCTGAAATGAACTACTGTACACAATATCAATTTATTGAATATATTTGTGATTGTTATTGGAATTTGTGATTCAAGTTGTTTTTAGAAGAAAATAATGTCAGCCGGTTTGCTAGGCGTTGAGTGTGTTACACGTCCGTGCATGGTGCGTGTGCGTGCGTGTGTGTGTGTGTGTGTGTGTGATTGTGCGTGTGCGTGATTGTGCGTGTGCGTGTGCGTGCGTGCGTGCGTGCGTGCGTGTGTGTGTGTGTGTGTGTGTGTGTGTGGGTGTGGGTGTGTGTTTGCGTGCGTGTGGGTGTGGGTGTGGGTGTGGGTGTGGGTGTGGGTGTGGGTGTGGGTGTTAAGCCAGGGAGATCGTAAACAGTAATACTTGCTTCCACAAACCAAGCTAACGGTGGATTAAAATACAGTATTGTGAGGATGTAAAACACGGCTTGTAGCTTGTGAACAACGTTTAACCTGTGTCAAGTGTGTCGGTGTTATACCAACAGGAAGTGTTATTTAACCTGGGGGTCAAGGAAAGGAGGCTGGCCAGCGTTACCGGACACGTGAGGGAAGTTGTTGTGTTGATTGCGTCCACGGGGAGCCTGGGGGAGATTGTCCCGGAGTTTGAACGTGTAGGACGAGGTGACACAGCGTACAACGACGTAATAGTCGTACCTGCTGCCGAGGTAAAGTTGGGGAACTCGGAGGTAAGGGAGTCCGTCAGAATGAACCGATCTCCTAGCTTCGCACCAATTAAATATGGACCAATCTCGTAGTGTCGCGCCAATTTGATATGGACCGGTCTCGTAGTTTCACACAAATTGACTATGAACCGATCTCACAATGCCACAACAGTTACGCAGGCTCCGATCTCGCATTGTTGTATTAGTTGAGTGTGAAACGATCTCCCTGTGTCGCGTCGCACAAATTGAGTATGGACCGACCTTGCAATGTCGCACCAGTTGAGAATGGATCGATCTCCCAGTAGCGCATCCGCTGAGTATGAACCGATCGCCCAGTGTCGCATCCGCTGAGTATGAACCGATCTCCCAGTGTCGCACACGTTGAGTATGAACCGATTTACAGTGTCGCACCCGTTGAGTATAAACCGATCCCAGTGTCGCACTCGTTGAGTATGATCCGTTTTTCCCAGTGTCTCACACATTGAGTATGAACCGATCTCCCAGTGCCTCACACATTGAGTATGAATCGATCTCCCAGTGCCTCACACATTGAGTATGAATCGATATCCCAGTGTCGCACACGCTGAGTATGAACCGATTTACAGTGTCGCACCCGTTGAGTATGAACCGATATCCCAGTGTCGCACACGCTGAGTATGAACCGATTTACAGTGTCGCACCCGTTGTGAATGAACCGATATACAGCGGCGCACACGTTTTGTATGAACCGATCTCCCAGTGTCGCACCCCTGTGTATGAACCGATCTCCCAGTGTCGCACTCGTTGTGTATGAACCGATTTACAGTGTCGCACACTTTGTGTATGAACCGATCTCCCAGTGTTGTACCCGTTTAGTATGAACCGATCTCCCAGTGTCGCACCTGTTGTGTATGAACCGATCTCCCAGTGACGCACCTGTTGTGTGTGAACCGATCTCCCAGTGTCGCACACGCTGAGTATGAACCGATCTCCCAGTGTCGCACCCGTTGTTTATGAACCGATCTCCCAGTGTCGCATACGTTGAGTATGAACCGATCTCCCAGTGTCGCACACGTTGAGTATGAACTGATCTCCCAGTGTCGCAAACGTTGAGTATTAACCGATCTCCCAGTGTCGCACTCGTTGTGTATGAACCGATTTACAGTGTCGCACACGTTGTATATGAACCGATCTCCCAGTGTTGTACCCGTTGGGTATGAACCGATCTTTCAGTGTCGCACGTGCTGAGTATGAATCGATTCGCAGGGTCGCACACGTTGTGTATGAACCGATCTCCCAGTGTCGCACTCGTTGTGTATGAACCGATATACAGTGTCGCAGACGTTGTGTATGAACCGATCTCCCAGTGTTTTACCCGTTGAGTATGAACCGATCTCCCAGTGTCGCACCCGCTGTGTATGAACCGATACTTGTGATGGTGGCGGCAAGTATTGTTGTGTTTTAGGTGGCAAGTATTGTTGTGTTGTGTTGTAGGTGGCAAATATTGTTGTGTTGTGGGTGGCAAGTATTGTGTTGTGGTTTTGGTGGTGGCAAGTATTGTGTGGTTGTGTTGGTGACAAGTATTGTATTATGGAAGCGTTCCATTGGGACGAACGCCAACCAAAATATATTTGTATCAAACAAACATGTCTCACAAAAGCCGCTCGTCAGCCGATACTGCCATTGCAACAGGGCTGTAAGCAGTATTCAATCCCTAACATGAAATCACATCCTCAAAATCAACATCCTCCCCTGACCGATAACATGAAGATACAAAACACGAGAGTTATCTCCCTTATACCTGAAGTTTTCGTATGCCTGAAGTCTGTTGTCTGTTTGGCTAAATGTTATTGATTATTACGTACAAGAGGCTCCAAGTTCAACGTAGAAGGACACCATGACCCGTGTAGTGATTCACAATGAGTCTACACATAGAACGTTCATCTTTTTTAAAGGTTTCTATGACATTATTTTCAAAAAAGAATTTGTGTTTGTATGGATAGTACAAGATGTTGGAAATTCAACAATGTTTCTGTCTCAACTAAAACAAAGGGTTCTGGACTGTGACTTTCCAGAATGACAGCAATATATTTCTTAAATCTAAACTCCAAGCCTATTCATCTTTTAAATCAACTTTTGAACCGGAACTCTACGTAAAGTACATTGATTGTAAACCTTACAGGATATTTTTAATTCCTTTCCGTTGTGGTTGTCATTAGCACAGAATGGAGACAGGAAGACTTAAAGGTGAATATTGTGTAATTTTTTTATTGGAGTATGTCGAAAAATTATACCATTTTCTTGTCAGTGTGCCAACAATATTAAAGAATTACGAACTCGCTATCTTGATGCGCATTATTTCACTAATCCAGCTTTATATAAATCTTAATCTTATGTCACCAACATGTAAAAGTACGATTAATCAATTGTCTAAATATATATATCCAATATTAAACTTAAAATGTCGCTCCACATGTAATGTTTAATCAGATATTTGTATATATTCATTGGCATTTCTCAATAAACTCATTTCAAAGGCTTTCACGTTGTGGTCGATAACTGTGTAAAAGTAATATCTTGTTGTCAATTATTCAATATTCCTTTTCAGTTCCTGCTTGATTTGTGATGTTGGGCATTACAGTTGATCGAGCATGTAATTAAAATCTATTGTGCGTATTTCATCTCGTCCAGGCGACTACTTACAGTGGTTCCTACACCCACCCCACCCCATCCTACCCCCGTGCGCCCTACTGGACTAGTTCCAAGACCCTGTCCTCTCCCATTCAACTAGACTAGCTCCCCACTCGCCTCCAACTAGACTAGCTCCCCACTCGCCTCCAACTAGACTAGCTCCCCACTCGCCTCCCACTGGCCTGGCTCCCCACTCGCCTCCAACTAGACTAGCTCCCCACTCGCCTCCCACTGGCCTGGCTCCCCACTCGCCTCCAACTAGACTAGCTCCCCACTCGCCTCCAACTGGCCTGGCTCCCCACTCGCCTCCAACTGGCCTGGCTCCCCAGTCGCCTCCAACTAGACTAGCTCCCCAGTCGCCTCCAACTAGACTAGCTCCCCACTCGCCTTCAACTAGACTAGCTCCCCACTCGCCTCCAACTGGCCTGGCTCCCCACTCGCCTTCAACTAGACTAGCTCCCCACTCGCCTCCACCTGGCCTGGCTCCCCACTCGCCTTCAACTAGACTAGCTCCCCACTCGCCTCCAACTGGCCTGGCTCCCCACTCGCCTCCAACTGGCCTGGCTCCCCACTCGCCTCCAACTGGCCTGGCTCCCCACTCGCCTCCAACTAGACTAGCTCCCCAGTCGCCTCCAACTGGCCTGGCTCCCCACTCGCCTCCAACTGGCCTGGCTCCCCACTCGCCTCCAACTAGACTAGCTCCCCACTCGCCTCCAACTGGCCTGGCTCCCCACTCGCCTCCCACTGGCCTGGCTCCCCACTCGCCTCCAACTAGACTAGCTCCCCACTCGCCTCCAACTGGCCTGGCTCCCCACTCGCCTCCAACTGGCCTGGCTCCCCACTCGCCTCCAACTGGCCTGGCTCCCCACTCGCCTCCAACTAGACTAGCTCCCCAGTCGCCTCCAACTGGCCTGGCTCCCCACTCGCCTCCAACTAGACTAGCTCCCCAGTCGCCTCCAACTGGCCTGGCTCCCCACTCGCCTCCAACTGGCCTGGCTCCCCACTCGCCTTCAACTGGCCTGGCTCCCCACTCGCCTCCAACTAGACTAGCTCCCCAGTCGCCTCCAACTGGCCTGGCTCCCCACTCGCCTCCAACTGGCCTGGCTCCCCACTCGCCTCCAACTAGACTAGCTCCCCAGTCGCCTCCAACTGGCCTGGCTCCCCACTCGCCTCCAACTGGACTGGCTCCCCACTCGCCTTCAACTGGCCTGGCTCCCCACTCGCCTCCAACTGGCCTGGCTCCCCACTCGCCTCCAACTGGACTGGCTCCCCACTCGCCTCCACCTGGCCTGGCTCCCCACTCGCCTCCAACTAGACTAGCTCCCCACTCGCCTCCAACTAGACTAGCTCCCCAGTCGCCTCCAACTGGCCTGGCTCCCCACTCGCCTCCAACTGGCCTGGCTCCCCACTCGCCTCCAACTGGACTGGCTCCCCACTCGCCTCCCACTGGACTGGTTTCCCACTCGCCTCCAACTGGCCTGGTTCCCAAATCGCCTCCAACTGGCCTGGCTCCCCACTCGCCTCCAACTGGCCTGGCTCCCCACTCGCCTCCCACTGGACTGGTTTCCCACTCGCCTCCAACTGGCCTGGTTCCCAAATCGCCTCCAACTGGCCTGGCTCCCCACTCGCCTCCCACTGGACTGGTTTCCCACTCGCCTCCAACTAGCCTGGCTCCCCACTCGCCTCCAACTGGACTGGTTTCCCACTTGCCTCCAACTGGCTCCCCACTCGCCTCCAACTGGCCTGGCTCCCCACTCGCCTCCAACTGGCCTGGCTCCCCACTCGCCTCCAACTGGACTGGTTTCCCACTCGCCTCCAACTGGCTCCCCACTCGCCTCCCACTGGCCTGGCTCCCCACTCGCCTCCAACTGGCCTGGCTCCCCACTCGCCTCCAACTGGCCTGGCTCCCCACTCGCCTCCAACTGGACTGGTTTCCCACTCGCCTCCAACTGGCCTGGCTCCCCACTCGCCTCCAACTGGCCTTGCTCCCCACTCGCCTCCAACTAGACTGGCCTCCCACTCGCCTCCAACTAGACCGGTTTCCCACTCGCCTCTCCCACAAGACTGGTTCCCAAATCTCCTCCCATGAGAACTGGTGCCCCACTCGCCTCCCACTAGACTGGTTCCCTACTCGCCTCCAACTAGACTGGTTCCCAACTCGCCTCCCACTAAACTGGTTCCCAACTCGCCTCCCACTAGACTGGTTCCCTACTCGCCTCACCCACTCCAGCCGCCCCACCGCCACCAAAGCCCCACCCTCACTTCCCCTACAACGGTTCGGTACAAAAGCGAGGTGAAACAAACTATGATATATCGGGTAAATCAGTACAGCTCTTTGTTGTTCTTGTCTTTATCGAGTGAAAAATCAAAGAAAGCAACTTCAAGTACAATTCCTGGTCAATACATTCCTAGGCATAACGTTGTACCTTTAATGAAAGTCTTTGTAGGAAAGTTTATTGGGTAGTCATGGCTGAATACCGCCAGCTGTGGTTTGCTGGGTATTGATTGGGCCAGTGTGGATTCCATAAGGCAGTGTGCCACTCTGAGTCAGCAAGTCTCTAAAGTACAACAACCACTCCCCCACATAAGTCCACTGCATAATTGTCATGTACAAACATTAACACATTCAAGCCATGTTTTGCCTTTGAATGTATGCGCGTCTGCCTGGTAGCGTGTTCTGAGCGTGTCTTATTGAGACCTCATAACTCACTTCAACAACACTTCGCTGTCATAAATGCTCTGTCCCATATACACAGATACTGACAGCAGAATAGCGTCTGTGTGTCTGAGGGGCGGTCGGGTAGCCTAGTGGTTAAAGCGTTCACTCGTTACGCCGAAGACCCGGGTTCGATTCCCGACATGGGTACAATGTTTGAAGCCCATTTCTGGTGTCCCCCGCCGTGATATTGCTGGAATATTGCTAAAAGCGGCGTAAAACCATACTCACTCACTCACCGTATGTCTGAAACAATCTCTCCCAGAAGACGTATGCACCGCGCTATGACGGGGGTTCGCATTATTAAGGTAATTGTGAGTAAAGCGTTCACAACACGTTCATAACAACACCAATGACACTACCGGTACACTGCTCTAAATGATATTTTGTTTCGAAATAAACTTAAAGAATACACTTGAAAAATCAGGCTTCACTCTCCTTATAACTGTGTTATAACCCCCATGTTCCTCATGTTCCTCATACGCACGTCACCTGGTGTGAGATACTCCTCAATATGATGCATGAAACATTTGATACCCGTATCAAATACATCACCATCGAATAAGCATGTTTCTTAATTTTTAGCCACCACCAAACATGGCTGTATACTTTCTTTTTCCCGAGGGGGCACGGGTGGCCCAGTCGTCTAAGGCGCCGCGATTCGCTGTGCAGAGTTGCGTCCCTTGGCCACGCCAGAAACCTATGATTATGGGTTCGAATCCTGGTTCGCCCCGATTATGTTTCTAGGTTTGTCAGCACCATACCCGTGCTCTTGAGTTTCACCGAAGTGGTAAACGTCTGCATCACTTCGGGTTTTCCTCCCACATTAAACTGACACGCCGTGATATAACTGGAATACTGTTAAAAGTGGCGTTAAACCCAACTCACTCACTCACTCTTTTCCCCGGAAGTTGAGTCTGCGTTAAGGAGTGAGTATGGTTTTACGCCGCTGTTAGCAACATTCCACCGATATCACGGCGGGGACACCAGAAACGAGCTTCAAACATGGTACCCATGGAATCGAAACCGAGGCAACGCTTTAACCACCAGGCCACCAGGCCACCCCGCCCCTCTTTGCGCGAGGGGAGACAGGGGTTAGCGTATGTTCGCTGGCACGCTGTTGTCACTGAGGCATCGTTTCTGGAACTGATGTCAGCACTGCGATCATATTTTTACAAGAACCTAGTGCTAAACTTCTTCGCCCTAGGGTGAACACTGGGTACATTCCACATACTGTCTGGCCCGGTCGTCTAAGGCGCCGCAATTCGCTGTGCAGAGTTGCGTCCCTTGGACACGCCAGAACGCTATGATTGTTGGTTCGAATCCCGGTTCGCCCTGATTATGTTTCTAGGTTTGTCAGCACCATACCCGTGCTCTCGGATTTCACCGAAGTGGTAAACGTCTGAGACCTGCATCACTTCGGGCTTTCCTCCCACATTAAGCTGACACGCCGCGATATAACTGGAATACTGTTAAAAGCGGCGTTAAACCCAACTCACTCACTCACTCACATACTGTCGTATGTCCAAGCTGCCCCCGGTTACAGCACTTGGTATAATGAGTGAGTGAGTGAGTGAATATGGTTTTACGACGTTTTAGCAATATTCCAGCAATACCACTGCTGGGGACACAATAATGGGCTTCACACATTGTACCTATTTTGGGAATCGAACCTGGACCCGCGGCCTGACGAGCTAACGCTTTCACCACGAGGCTACCGTACCAGTTTCGGTATCTGCTGAAACAGGCAGATTTACCCGACAGGCCACCATACGAGTTCGCTACATTTAAATACTACTTATTAAAGGCGAATCCTCAATTCGATATTAAACGCTAGACTGCGTCGTTCTGGCTGAATGAGTGTGGATAATGTAACACTGAACACGGCTTGTATCTAACTGCTGGTGTAATGTGACTCCTTGGCAAATGATTAGTCTCTGAAAATGTATAATTTTGATAGAAACGAGCAACTACATTTAACCAGAGAGTCCCAGAACCTGTAGAGATTCTAGTCTCTGCACGTACACAGTGCCGAAGCGGTGTCTATGATGTAAATGTACTGATCATCATCCGACCTGCATCCGCGCCAGCTGCATACGCCGTGCACGTAACCCGACCCTGCACAGCATCCACAGTTCACCATGTTGACCATAGTCTAATCATGTCACATGTGGCTGCATAACACTCTGTGGCATTGAGGCGACAGCGACATACTGCACTACATACACTACATGGTTATATACTGCACTACAGACACTACATGGTGATATACTTCACTACAGACACTCCATGGTGATATGCTGCACAACAGACACTACATGGTGACATACTTCACTACAGACAATCCGTGGTGATATACTTCACTTCAGACACTACATGGTGATATACTTCACTACAGACACTACATGGTGATACACTTCACTACAGACACTACATGGTGATATACTGCATTACGGACACTACATGGTGATATACTTCACTACATATTACATGGTGATATACTTTACTAAAGACACTACATGTTGATATACTGCACTACAGACACTACATGCTGATATACTGCACTACAGACAATCCGTGGTGATATACTTCACTTCAGACCCTACATGGTGATATACTTCACTATAGACAATACATTGTGATATACTTCACTACAGACACTACATGGTGATATACTTCACTACAGACACTACATGGTGATATACTGCACTACAGACACTACATGGAGATATACTTCACTACATACTACATGGTGATATACTTTACTACAGACACTACATGGTGATATACTGCACTACAGACACCACATGGTGATATACTTCACTACAGACACCACATGGTGATATACTTCACTACAGACACCACATTGTGATATACTTCACTTCAGACACTACATGGTGATATACTTCACTACAGACACTACATGGTGATATACTGCACTACAGACAATCCGTGGTGATATACTTCACTTCAGACACTACATGGCGATATACTTCACTACAGACACTACATGGTGATACACTTCACTACAGACACTACATGGTGATATACTGCATTACGGACACTACATGGTGATATACTTCACTACAGACACTACATGGTGATAAACTTCACTACAGACACTACATGGTGATATACTTCACTACAGACACTACATGGTGATATACTTCACTACAGACACTTCATGGTGATATACTGCACTACAGACACTACATGCTGATATACTTCACTACAGACACTACATGCTGATATACTTCACTACAGACACTACATGGTGATTCACTTCACTACATATTACATGGTGATATACTTTACTAAAGACACTACATGTTGATATACTGCACTACAGACACTACATGCTGATATACTGCACTACAGACAATCCGTGGTGATATACTTCACTTCAGACCCTACATGGTGATATACTTCACTATAGACAATACATTGTGATATACTTCACTACAGACACTACATGGTGATATACTTCACTACAGACACTCCATGGTGATATACTTCACTACAGACACTACATGGTGATATACTTCACTACATACTACATGGTGATATACTTTACTACAGACACTACATGCTGATATACTGCACTACAGACACCACATGGTGATATACTTCACTACAGACACTACATGGTGATACACTTCACTACAGACACTACATGGTGATATACTGCATTACGGACACTACATGGTGATATACTTCACTACATATTACATGGTGATATACTTTACTAAAGACACTACATGTTGATATACTGCACTACAGACACTACATGCTGATATACTGCACTACAGACAATCCGTGGTGATATACTTCACTTCAGATCCTACATGGTGATATACTTCACTACAGACACGATATGGTGATACACTTCACTACATACACTACATGGTGATATACTTCACTACAGACACTCCATGGTGATATGCAGCACTACAGACACTACATGGCGATATACTGCACTACAGACACTACATAGTGATATACTCTACAACCGACACTACATGGTGATATACTGCACTACAGACAATCCGTGGTGATATACTTCACTTCAGACACTACATGGTGATATACTTCACTACAGACACTACATGGTGATACACTTCACTACAGACACAACATTGGGATATATTGCACTACAGACACTGCATGGTGATATACTTCACTACAGACACTACATGGTGATATACTTCACTATAGACAATACATTGTGATATACTTCACTACAGACACTACATGGTGATATACTTCACTACAGACACTCCATGGTGATATACTGTAATAAAGACACTACATTGTGATATACTTCACTACAGACACTACATGCTGATATACTTCACTACAGACACTCCATGGTGATATACTGTAATAAAGACACTACATGGTGATATACTTCACTATAGACAATACATTGTGATATACTTCACTACAGACACTACATGGTGATATACTTTACTACAGACACTCCATGGTGATATACTACACTACAGACACTACATGGTGATATACTTCACTACAGACACTACATGGTGATATACTTCACTTCAGACACTACATGGTGATACACTTCACTACAGACACTACATGGTGATATACTGCATTACGGACACTACATGGTGATATACTTCACTACAGACACTACATGCTGATATACTTCACTACAGACACTACATGGTGATATACTTCACTACAGACACTTCATGGTGATATACTGCACTACAGACACTACATGCTGATATACTTCACTACAGACACTACATGCTGATATACTTCACTACAGACACTACATGGTGATACACTTCACTACATATTACATGGTGATATACTTTACTAAAGACACTACATGTTGATATACTGCACTACAGACACTACATGCTGATATACTGCACTACAGACAATCCGTGGTGATATACTTCACTTCAGACCCTACATGGTGATATACTTCACTATAGACAATACATTGTGATATACTTCACTACATACTACATGGTGATATGCTTCACTACAGACACTACATAGTGATATGCTGCACTACAGACACTACATGGCGATATACTGCACTACATACTACATGGTGATATACTTCACTACAGACACTACATAGTGATATGCTGCACTACAGACACTACATTGTGATATACTTCACTACAGACACTACATGCTGATATACTTCACTACAGACACTCCATGGTGATATACTTTACTACAGACACTACATTGTGATATACTGCACTACATACTACATGGTGATATACTTTACTACAGACACTACATGCTGATATACTG